TCGATTAGTGATTAATAAACATTTTGTCACTTCGCAATTTATGTATCAGAAGCATGGATTGAAAATATCTCCAGCAGCAGCAAGTTTTTCGAACTCTAAAAAATTTTTTGACTCGGGCAGGACTTGAACCGGCATCGTCAGCGTTCCGTGCTGTTGCTCTTATTAAGTATTGTGCAATTAAGAGAGTAGTACACATATGAATAAAACACTTTAAACGGTTTAAAATGTGAAATATGATCTAATTAGTAATTTGTTAATAAATTAACTAATATACTTTGCGTTTTAAACCGTTGAGAGTGTTTTATTTATGGGTTCTTAAAATGCATTACGCTTTCGGGTTTAGGTACTTATAACATACAAAATACAACTACAAGTGTCAAACACTTGTAAAAAACAATTTCAATATTTTTTTTACAACAATAGTAATTAATATAAATTAAAATGACTCCACGAACTATTAACACGAAAGCCAAATGTACGTTTGAATGTTAGTTATGTGAGAAATTAATAAAATATAAGAATGTTGAGGTCATTAGCTAAGAGAAGAGATGCCGACAGGAAAAAAATAAATAAAAAACACGTGTTTTGAAGCCGCACGCCCCTTCGTGTTTGTGGAAACAAGTCGAGTGAATTGTGTTACCAGGTATCATGAAGTGGAAAAAACTTATGACTTTACGCTATGGAAGTCTTTAAAGAATATATTTTAGTATAGTTCGATAGATAGCTCTTATTCTTAACTTTAAATGTCTAAATCTTTAGAGAAAAGGTATTTATGGAATTGATTTTTGTAAAATAATAATTCTTTTATGCTGAACATAAAAGAATTATAGTAATACTTGTTTTTGATATTGAATTCAGTCTTACAGTTTACATTTTCAATTTAAATAGTCCGGGTAAGTTTGGGTTCAACTCGAGCGCGAAATGGTTCCGTACTATTCTGAACTTCCGTATACTTATAGAGTTTTGTTTGATGTGTTTTTTTTTCGATAGAGAAGAGCAGACAAACATGGAGTTTCTTTTTTGCGAGGTAAAATACCCTAGCTTTGGATATTCGGAAATTACGAAATTCTGTTGAATTGAATATTGGTTCAATATATTGAATTATTTAATTGTCTAGCTAACAGCAAGTACAAATAAAGCACTAGTTTAATGCCTAAGGACCTCCAATTACTTTATTCAATTTACAGGCAGTGAGTAGGATTTTTCCTTCCCTAATAGAGTCTAATCCGAAGTCACACATGCGTTCGGGTTAGACCACAAAGGCATACGCAGCGCTTTAGTGGGGATTAAATTCACTGTGCAAATTTTTTTAATCTTCTCTCCTTACTCTCCTTCTGTGTTTATAGAGTCTGAGACGAAATAAAATATAATTTACTACAGAAAATAAGTATTAGATAGTAGCAGACAGTTTCAGAAAGGTAACATAAAAGTGTAAATTGTAAAAAACGCCTAATCTATTTAATATAGTGGGTTAGCCTACATTAAATAGATTGGCAGTGGGTTCGAGTCTCACCAGTGACAAAAGAGTTTCAATCTTTTTAAGTCAGTGTTCAAAGTCTCAGTGGACACAGCAATGTTAAGGATTTCTTTGTTTACATGTTGTGTTTATTTGTTTTAACTCTATCCAACTTCCCGCCCCGCTTCCGCTCATAACGTATCACAACCCTTAACCGGCCTAATGTGTCGCTCGCATGAGCCACATAACAAAATTTTGAAACGCACCATTACAATACCTCATCGTGACATAGAAAAATTTAACGTGTCATTTGGATGTATTTTCACTGGTGTTTGTTTTACCGCTCGTGATCTGGGCGGGCCCATTTTACACTTAGTTGCGTTTCACGTTTTTTGGCTTTCAAATGTGTAACGGCTTTTGGAATTTCCAATTAATACGTTGAAACTGAAATACGCGTAGAAGATTAGTAGCTTTACACTTTTTAATACATACAAAAACGAATTTAAACCGTTACCGACCTCTTAGGTATATTCTTATCATTTGATTATATATTGTATGTATGTATATTATATACCTTTGCTTGTCGTTTATTACTTCTTACTCTACTTAATAAATAAGCCCTCTTTTATTTCGTGTACAGGTTGGCTGAAAGAGATCACTGCATAGCGATAAGTCCGCATTTTATTTATAAGCTAGTACGTAAGATCTCTTGTTGGTTTTGTTTTGGTGTGTATTATATAAATGATAAAGCTGTAATAAAAAATAAATAATATAATGCATGACCTCTACTATGATAAAAGATGAGTATAACTATAAAACAATTTAGTTGTTTGTCTGCCAATATATTTTTAATGTTTTTTATCTGATAATCAAAACCCTTTTTAGTTTGAAAAATAGGCTAATTAGCCTAAAAGTTTACATTTAAAACGTTTTTGTTTAAACTAGATTGTAGATATAGATACACTAACTAGGCTAATCTTAGGATCAATTCTGGAAAAGTTGGTTTCTTAGTAGTTGGTCTCAGCTTACTCTATAAACCACACAGTACATGAGATTGTATTTAGAAACATCATTTTAACGCCCGGAATCAAACCCCCAGCTATGCCACAAACTGCTAATAAAAGGGAGTAAAGATGAGACCTAGAATGACTGTTAAAAAACTTAATGAACGCAAGCTAAGGGTATGATACGGCCGGAACACACAAGGCAGAACGAATGCAACTAATTATGCATGGAGCCCACGGCTTTGACATGTGGCCTCAGATGTGACGACCGTCCCAATAATTGTCCAAAATTACAACCCGTTTTTTATAATGTTTTATAAATACTGTCTTAATGGTCATTAAGACGATATCATTCATGTTTTTTGGCCTCTCCGAGACACTTAACAAATTGTGTGGTTGTGTGGTTGTTTGATAACACTTTATTGGTATTTTGTGCAATGAAAAGGAAATCAAAACCTAGTTTTACACTAAAAATATATCTATTAGTAGGTAATTTAATTGCTTCGTGTTATGTCGCGTTATGTCATTTTGATCGTATAGTAGGTGGTAGTTTGTGTAGCGAATAATCAATGAGTCCAACATCTTTCTAATCGTATTGGAATTCTCATCTAAGCTTGCGTCGTTTGGTTCTTCGGTCTTTATAATAATGATAATACCTTATCAACGTTAAATGACTTCACAATCTTTTTTATGGTAGAGGAGGACAGCTATACCTAACGTCTACACAAGATGCGCTGTTGATCTTTTTTGACCTTGGATACTCGGCATTCACACAATTTTTAATATGTTATATATGTGCTTCGTGACCCGGACGGAATTTCGATATTCCTACAAATTTAATAACCAAATTTCCAAACTAAAAATGTGTACTACTGGCATAAACAGCACGAAGATTACACTACTTAGTCGCCAGAATGAGTCGTTATTTACTGTTATTAGGTATTAGTAATAAAAATATATGTTAACATTGCATATTTTTGAATAAGTCACCCTTTATTATTATTGTTTGTTTTATATTACTTGAACTAAAAGTTCACTAGTTATTATTGTAGTGCATGATTATAACACCAATGTTAATCTTAGTCGCGTGGTCGCGTTCGAGTATAATTTATTGCGACTGCGCCCGCGCCGCCCTCATTAGTTTTTATAAAAACGCCAATTTCATATTCGCACTGACTCACACCTGTTCCGATTTATTTGTGAGCTGATTCGATACAACGCTTAACTAGATTCTTATCGTAAGGCTTTATTTTAGTTATCCACGCACGGTTTTAATTTTGATCGATTTGTTGCGATGATCTGCGGTCATAGACGAAAACTTTTTATGTGTAATTGCTTTTGATAGCACATAAAGCGATGAAAATGTTTTCTTTTTAAACAAAAAAACAAATTGAAATATTTTTTATGCCAATGTAGCTAACGTTTCCGACTCTACGAGTATAACAAGATGTGTATGTACTTAGTATAAAATATACATAGATTTGTGTACATTCAAATAATACATTTTAACGGTTTAAAACTAAAAATAAATTATTTATTTTGGATGTATTTGATTACCGCCCAAGTTACCGATAGAGTTTAATATTTCGCGTATTAAACCGAAAAGTATTTTATTTTAAAACATAGTGGCTTTATCTCAATCTTACCTTCATAACTTTCCCATCTATGTGTAAAATGATATATATAGGTAAACTGTTCGCACTCCAAAATATTACATATATCCCATCGTCTTATTAGAATTAACTTTTAAAAATCCTATCCGTTATTTCCAATTCGTTTAGTGCTTTAAAAATTTGTGTACATAGCTTTGCAATTCTCCTTAAATTGTAAAGCATTGTGAACCGTTAAGAGGACGATTTTAACAGTATAAAACGGTAATTTATTAGTTAATTTATTTATAATGACGAATCGACTGTACCTACATATGTTTTCGTGATTGTGTACTAGTCACGTGTATTGTACTGATAAGTACACAAAAATACGTTTGATTTCGCCTTAAAAAACGATCTTTGCCAAAATCTCTACAATCCGTTAATTACAAGCGAAATACAGGCATCATTAAACTGACGATTTATTTAATTAGGGCTCACGCAAAGTGCATTGCGTGATTTGTTATGGTTTAGAGCACACACCGTGTTCCTTACTTTGTCGTCGTGTGCGGCCCATCACTGTTTTCATCGGTGTCTTTGCTGTTTAATGGTGCCTGAAGTGTGTGCGCGCGATTTCAGCGTGTTTCACGCCCTTTTTTGCAACAAAACCGCCTTTGGATTGATGTAGAGCGTGAATAAGAAACACGCGGAGATAGTTATATATATATATATATTACAATTTGACAAACACATTAAAATCGTAGACTAAAAGTTTTTACCATCGCATGGTACTTACAATAGATAGAGCAAGAGGTCATCGAACATTGTTTAGTGATTCTGAGACTTTAAATTGGAACCTAGTAAAATATTTATTATTGACAGAGCTACGAAGGTGAGTTTAGCAATGTTAGTTGCTTAATTTAATATAAACAAAAATTACTTATTTTCTTTTTACTTGGGGATGATGTTGGAGGTACGCATGGCTTCGCCTCTTTGATCCACGTCTTGCCGCTTGCAGTGGCTTGTTCTTTTAGCTGCCTCCTTCTGCTGCTGCTTCTCCACTAGCTCGCAGAACTGGCAACCGACTTCCAGGCCTCATAAAATCACATATCTAAGTGTAGTTAATTCTTCATGCATTTAGGCAAAAGTAATATGAGATCTTTGGTTGGAAACTTAGTACAAGGTTATCGATAGAAATCGGAGAATTCGTAAGATAAATGGGCTAAATTAAGAAGTTTCGCAAGAGGTTCGCTGAAGCGTTTGCTCGGTTTTAATTAAAATCTTAACAAGGTTACCGTTAATGAAGTGACGGTTCTATTTATTGACCTATCTGAGTGTTGCAGCATTTTACAGTTTTCAATTTATTCTTAATTGATAAAGCCACGAGTCATTGGAAACAATTGTCTTGAGGCACATTGGGCAATAAATGTAATTGTTTTTCGTACGAAAAGTCCTCTCTGAATTGATTAGTGGCGATTGAGGTATGATAGACTAGCACAGACAAGCATAGGATTCACTATTTTAACTTTGAATATTCGGTAATCCACAGACTGAAACGCGATTATATTTCTGGGTTTTAATCTGTGGTTGGTAGTTCGTGACCCGGGTGGAATTACGATATTCCTACCACTCATTTTATATTCAAATCTCCAGAGAACGTCCAACATATTTAAAACATATTATTAATTGATTAAAAAAAATGTTGGACCAGGTGGGGATCGATCCACCGACCCGTTGATATTAGCCACTTACCATTATACCAACAAGCCAGTCAAAGTATATTTTATTGTTTAATTATATTGGGAAGTTAAGCTTAGAAGTAGAGATATGGTTTACTTTCGCTAACAAGGGGGTATATGTATATCTTATAGGTACCTATGTAGCTAATAAATCTGCTGATGCAATAACTTTGTGCTTGAACGGTCCATTTTTATGTTCTTGAATAATTTTGCATATTAATTTCGATAAGAGTGTCTATTTAGTAAATGATAGTGATGGTTAATATAAAATTAAAATAATAATCTTCTCTACCTAGGGATAGAATTTCGATCTTGTTAAGGCCTTCTTAAGGCTTTGTCCTTATATTTATGTTTAACTATGAATTTAGAGAATATTATATCCTTAATTTTGTATATACAATTAAATTTAACCCGATTTAAAAGTAGGTATACAAAATTTAACAAACACCTAAGCACCTAAAGACTTCAACATAAAACAGGGCAAAAGTAATAAATTGACAACACGAAATAGCATTTTTCTGAAAAATTATAATACATATCGTACACGAATACGGAACGACAATGCAATTAACTCACACGAAGGATCGTAATTTCACAGTGTGCATACAAACTCCGCCTCAAATAAAATCCCTCCAATCGCGGCCGCTGTGGGCATAGATCGTTCTGCCAGCACGCCTCGGGTTTTCGTCACGGAGCAACGACTCAGGCGCGACTCACACATTGCCAAACGTCCACAGACACCGGATCTGACGATTAGCCGTCTCTTTCCCTCAATTCTACTCCAAACTACAACAGATTACATTTCTCGAAATAACCCACCAAATCTAGACGATCGATTTTCAAAACAAAGCTGATGTATTATACGAGTCCTTAGCTAATATATATTGAAGTTTTGAAGAAAATGATGAATGATAAGGACAGGAAACGAATGTTGAAGATGCAGCGTTGATCCATGCGCGCAGGCATCTGAAAGGGACAAAAGTCAGGTGGAGCGGAGAAGCCTGCGGAGGCGGCCGCGCCGACCATTTTTTGTTGCACCGCTGATTGTGAAAGATTACACTTGAGACTCGAAATACATCTTTACATCACACGTCAGTGGCCACCGAGCTGTCTTCAAAGTAACACGGATTAGACATACGCAGTTTTACGTAAACATGTCTGCGTGTTTGTGATATCAGTGACAGACTGTGATTTGGACTTTGTGTGCTAGAACTTTTAACATTTTGTTCTCTTTACTTCGATGGCAGTTTCCACGCTCAACATGACGCCCTACTTCACCGGATATTCCTTCCAAGGTATGCTCTTGCGCAACTTATTTTTTCATTTTTCAGATTTTGAAGGATTCTGCTGACCTAAAAATAAAGGTTTTAGAAAACAACTTTACGAAGGCAGTATTTTGATAACTACGCCTTCAGGATATCTTACGTGAGATAATTATTAGCTAGCAATATAAGAATGTTCTTTTAAACAAATTTTTAATATAGAAGAACTTCATACACTTAATATACATCATACATTTATAGCAATTACATTTGAAAACATTAAAATAAAAGATAACATTTATATTTTAATAAATTAACTTTATAATTTGAGACATTTAAAATGTTATGTAGTTAAACCATTAGCAATCAAAGATTCAAATGTAAATGCCAGCCGATTAACAGTCAACAAGCAATTTACATGGTCGAGAATGGAGTATTAATAACTTAACTGCATCCTTCTCGCAAGGAACATGCCATAAAACTATAAAATCATGAGAAATCAGAAAAAGCTTTACAACCGCTCATATAACAATATTTCATCCCGACGCGATGAAACTAACGAAGCACTAGTTGAAAAAACTTTAGAAAGATCTGAAGCGGTCAAGGGCTGGAGTACAGAAAGCAATTTGGTATTCAAGAAACAATTTTTGTCACGACGCCGTTATTGTCTCACGGAATTGATCTTGATCTAAATTCAAAAGAAAATTGTGAGACCGTTTTTGAGAGCTGCTTTGTCTACCTAAAGTAAAGAAGAATGAATTTATTAATTTTGCTATATTTTCCCAGGATTTCGTCACTTAACAAAATAAATATTGATCCTAGTGATCAATATTTATTTCTTATCTTATTGTTTTTAAACATTGTTGTTGTTTTATGTTGTAGGTACAAGGTTTTTCTCTTTCTTCTCAAATATCCTCATTGTGTAAAATTAGAATATATAATGTAACGGGCTTAATCGCTACCAGCGTTTAGTCCTTTTGCGTTTGAAATAGTTCTCGATTATTGACACGTGTTTTCACTATGAAGAAGTTAGCGTCAAAAGTAATTACGAAAAATAAAAAATTATCACTAAAGAGTACTTTATAGCTATAAATAAAGAAATTTTCGATCAGTTGTCCCAGCATCCAAAGTAGATGAAAGTTGGTAACACTAGTAGTTCTTTGTTTTCTTTTATTTATCGTCCGTCATAAACTTACCAAAGATCTTTTGTTTTAACTGCCGTTTCTCCTTATTCGGTACCAAAATTTTATTGCGGGCGACACTTTTCGTCAAACAGATGAACATTTTGGACTTTAACTGTCTTCAATTCTTGCTTTTATTTTTAATGTACGAGAATGTTCTATTATTGCTAACAATGAAAGAATTAAACATCTTAAAGAACTTATTCTATCTCGTTTTGCATTCGTTTCTTAAGATATTACCGCTTATTGTGACATAAACTATAAGCATATAGATATAGCAATCATAAATATTGAATTATTAGTCCATTAAAGATCAAATAAAGGTAGAATAATTATATCGAAATATTTGTAACTCCGAAAGAAAGAGACGAAGATAAACTAAATTTTCGATTATAGTAAAATGCAATTATTAAAATATCACACCTTTAAAGTTTAGCCGCCCGAACCCTTAAACGCATTCTTTCTGCTCCAAAAACCCCGACAGCTCTCCACATAAATCATTACCATACGGAAACATTTCGACTGCATTGTTAAAAATGTCACTTCAACTTATGACCTGTTCCTAAACTAAATTAAAACGAAAGGGATCGAAATACGAGAAAGGGCTTAAACGGAGAGAGATGAAACGATAAAAGACGCCGCCGAGAATTAAGTACGTCAGCTTACGTGGTGTAAGACATAACACATGAGGCGATATATATTTTAAGTTAATTGATAGATATAGAATTAGCGAACGTATAATTCTTCATTTCATCTGAGTCATTTCACAAAAGCACCGCGCGCCGTTCAGCCCTTTCGGTTTATTAAATAAATCCTTTGGTCGACAACAAATTATGTAACCTTCGACGAATAAATCGGTATTAACGTCGTAAGCCGCTCTGATGTAAAGTCGGGCATTTTAAATGTTTGCAATATAAAAAGCATCCAGATTAATTTAAAATATGGACTTTAAACTTTTGTTGTGTTAAACGCTTGAAGGTACGCGATGAAGATCGATACAGTTGAATTATTTGTGAATTTACGCCTTAGAGAATATTTTAAAGGACATACGAATTAACGACGACTCGTTGAATTTGGTTTAATAAGAGATAGAAGAAACAAAGAGCAATATTATTTGTCAACGAAATGGCCTTTATTAAGTATAACGTTTTGAAGACACTTATTAAGCGTATGTTGATTTCTCTTATACAATTACTTCGGTAATTGCAAAGGAAATTCTCATGGAAGAAGATTTAATTTTAAATATAATAAATGTCGATGTTATTTCGCATAATGTGGTCGATGATGGTCGTAGCCCGCGGCTGGGTGACGGACACGATGAAGCGAGATATCGATCAACAAACCGCACCTTGTAATTTATCGATGCGCGAGGATATCGGCTCGGGTCTGCAATTTCTTGGAGGATCATTCGATTATTCGATAAGCGTCACTGTCAAATCCAATTTTGAATTTAGAAGTATTTCAATAGAAACGAAATTGGGGATTCCAAGAATGTTAAAGGAACTAAATTGATTTTCCAGCGTTAGAGTCGTTTTAATTTCACCATTTGAATAGACGATGATTAGTACGGGTTTTTGTTATTCAGATTGCTGACCTCTGAGCATAATCAAGATTTAGTCACATTCATATCACGGCCGGACAGGCGCGGGCGCAGCGCGCACACAAGCGCGCTTCAAAGGCACCGACAGCCTGCTTTACCTTCGTAATATGACGCGTCTTCTCCGCCCGCGAAATGCCTCGCTCCTTCGGGCCACTTGTCATTATTTTAATTAAATCTAACAATATATACTCTCGCTAAGGAGATTAAACATATGTTATACGGTTTAAAGGAACAAGGAATAGTCATAATCAACGTTCAAGCATTTAGTTTAAATACCCCTTCAGCAAAAGATTAAATCAGTACACATTACTTACTTAAAAAGAGAACGTGAAAAAATTAAAATTAGGTAATTTTAACCCATTTCTTCAAAAAAAAAATATATATATATATAACAAATACATATGAACTGAAAACAATTTCAACAAAGGCGTGGAATTTTAGATTAAAGGAATTCTTTTTCGATTGAATTTCGTTAGACATCGATTGGCAGCGTCAAACTCTTTGTCACAGTGATATTTAATCGGCGTTTTATTTACAGCCTTCAAGCACATTTCTTACAAATCGCAATACAATTCACCAAAGCCATATTCAGACTATGCTATAATTAAAAAAACAAATCGTTAACAACACAATATCAATCATTATCCATGGGTTTACAATTATCTATATAAGTTGACTATCTTATAATTCCTATTCTTATTTAAAAAGAACTCCATAAAATAGTGGCGGCATATTTTAAACCCTTTCCTTCAAAGACTCCAAATTAGTACATAACACCATATGAATACCAAATGAGGTCAAACAGGGCACTTTCAAAATATAATAATGAAATAAAATATTCGTTTCCATTCACAGTTGTTCGATGACATGCCGAAAGGTTTCTCGGTTTGAACAGTTGGTCTGTTCTATTATAGTAAAAAATAACACTCGAACAAGTATCTAGTTACGTGATGTCTTGAGTCTTTGCAGAAACACGTTAAGATTAAGATCAAAATGTGCGTGATGAAACAAAAAGAAAAACGGACAAAGCACAAAGTAATTGTTTTAAAACATATTGGCAATTGCAATTGTTAGCACCCAACTGAAGAAAATATTTTTTTTATTAGAGATAAATCCGGAAGTGCGATAAAATTCGGGTTTTAGTTTCATTCCAAACGTCCAAAGCCAAAATGAGTTGACAGTGCGTGTCAAGTTGATGTTAAGGGCTGTGGGCATTTTGCTTTTCGTCAAATTAACATCATGCTTGCCAGCCCTCTGTCATATAAAGTAGTATATTTTCACGGCTTGAGATACTGTATATATCAAGCATATCTAATGAATAAAAACAATAGTTTATACAACGGTTTTATACGGGATCGTTGGTGTAAAGGTAGAATTGTACAGCTAATAAACGGATCCTGTGTTCGGTCCATCTGATTTTCCCGAACCATGTTGGAATTCGTCCGTCCTTGTCACGCACAACCGTCCACAGATGATAAAGCCGTCAAGTTTAATCGCATTTCGGTTTCAGTCTGTGGATTTCCAAATATTCGAAGCCAAAATAGGCCGACCTTTTTACTCAATAAAGCAAACTTGTCCTCCTCTATCATAATAAAAAGCTATTAATTTGGATCGCTAAAGTTCTCAAGATAGATGTACTCAATACAAACGCTTTCCCAAATAATGATCCTCGTTAATCGAGTAGGCACCGCCCAAATCAGCGAATGATATAAGCATAATGGAATTGATACGATCACCGTGCCCCGAGGCGATGCCACGCGACCAAGCGGCCACACAGAATACTTCGAATGCTTGAAGAACGCTTAATGGAATGACATCGCCTTTGTGAAGCCGCCCAATTCTAATGCCTATTCAGATGGCATCATCTCTTTGTTGCTTCATTTTGGATAGCAATAGTTTTATTAGTGTATAAATGAATTTCAACAGGTCGAGCACAGAAAGTGCACTTGTAATGAATTTTGATTGTCACTTCGTTCAAATCTTGATTGAGCTGATATTTTATTTATTTCGTTTTACCGTATTATGGTCCACTCATAGGTTAGCTCTTAAACCCAATATCATCACAATGTTCCAGTTTGTATTGCCGGGCTTTGATGAATACTACCCCTAATTATTGATGATACTCTGGACCAACAGCTTATCGTTCTCTACTACGCGCGGAAGTGATGTTACATTTAATTCTTTCTGTACTGAGAGATTATCATAGACCAATCAATATTTTCCCAATTCTTATCCTAGAATTCGTAATCTGCAGTTTAAAGGCCGCCAATTTCATTTACAATACTCATGTTCATATAAATTGCCATCGAAAGTGGTTTCTACGCCGTTCACACCTCGATTGATAACCTCTAAGAAAATAGGTTTAATCTAAAAACTGTTTATCGCTTCTGTAATTGAATTTCAGAATTGTTTTGCGCAACTATTCTATTGTAAATTAATCTTGATTGGCCTAAAAGCGATACAGGTTTAAAGTGCAATATTTTTACGCGCCATCAAACTTTATTTATGTGATTATCGCTGGCATACAAATCATCTGGAAGAAAGCATTGTGTGACGTAAGATCTCATATAAATTTTACTATGACCACATTAATGTCGCTACGTGAAATTGATTTGCAAGCAGAAACATATTATGATTGTGAAAACGGGGTTTACGATTTATTTACACAATGCAATATCGAATACGAACATAAACTATCACTGTATCGATGCATATTAAAACACCTGGATAATTTCAACTTACGAAGAGTTTTTTTAGTTAATCTTTTATTTATTTAATTCACCAAAACTTGATACAGCAAACCCATAAAAAGTTACAATTTGTCATTGAGCACATGGATACGCTAAGACGGCAGCATAGCCCAATTAATAGTGTCCTTGATTGTTTAGTTTTATTTACTTTCTGATTGTCATACCTAATTGATTTTTAAAAATAAATTTCTATTATATAAATAAAACAGAGTATATTTGACAATTACTTACAAACCAATAGCTAATGTAATTTATTTATACTTTTTTTTATCTTCAATTGAATTAACATCTTTCGTGTGATCGTTAAAAAATCTCCGAGATTACAAAATAATTTCAGACGTCAGCGACATTTTTAATTTCACCACAAGTTTCAAAAGTACTCCAAAGTTACGACGCCCGATTAAGAAATCCAAGACGATCTATAAAATTGGAAAATTCAATCTCACTTAACAATGATTGATCGAAAGTATCAGTGCGATTGATGAAAATGTGATTGCTAATTAAAGTTGACACAGAAAAGTGAATACTCTTTATTTATCTGGTCACGGTTTAGCTCTTACGGCTAGCGTTAAATGGCTGACTCTGTTTCAATTTCGTCTAACATGAATGCGGCGGTCGAACGAATCGAAACACGATTATGTTATTGTGAGAAATTTTTATGCGTTCTGCACGCTGTCTATCAGCTCAGTATTTGATTATGCGTTGAAGGGACTACAGCCACTATGAATAAGTCTCGTGAGTAAAAGATTTCATTCTGGCTTCCGAACGCTATTGATTCCTAACACTATTCTTTCATAACAGGATCAGCGTGTACCACCCTGGTAGCGTCTATTGTGGGTAGAAAATGGTGCATGATGCAAAGTGCTTCCGGACGATTAACTTTGCACAGAAATGTTTAAATTTGTTGTTAACTTTACCTCCTTTTGCGTTAATAGCGTTATAATGTTTGCGAATTCTATTACGCATTGTTAGGTATAAAGCTATTGTAGCCTTTGTGGGTCCTTGGGTTTTTTTGAATGATCTCATTTCAACTGTTTGGTTGAGAGATACATTGAATGGATTTGATATTTCTATAGCACTCTTACATTACATTCAATTGCACTTTAACATTACATAATTCTATAAAAAAAATTGTCTGAATTTATATGTCTTTTATTGATATGTCTTGAGACTTTTTCTCTAACTATATCATGATTTGATGATCGAACTTTAATAAAGTAATACATTATTGCCAAGCCACCCACATTTGTATAGAAAGGTTATTACGAACGCGTTATGCGTCATAAATATTTCGAGAACATAAAATTAACACTCAAAAACATGGGTTTTCGAGGCACCACAACGTCTACAAGGGCTGACAAAAAATGGGGATCCCGTGATCCTCTGCGTGAGTCCAGGAGTAATAGCAAATCTTTAAATAATCATATACGATACAAGTCTTTATGCCTGTTAGAATAAAAGCTGAAATCGTATTAAATTGTTGTCAAACTTTTAACACCCACTTACCTATATAAGACTCGGGAATTTCGATTCAATACGACGGTGATAGAGGCCATTTTACTTTGAAGTAACGAAATATTCGGTTTCTCGCCTTGTCAAAGGACACACTTGTTGACATGTTGTTTAATTGATCGGTGCTTCTCCGCAGGGGTCTAGGGCCCTATATGCGGCGGTTTCTTTGAGGAATTATTCGAAATTGATAAACTATAAATGCCTTTACAAGTGGAAGATGCCACTGTGGTGTCTTCTGTCAAATTTAGATTAAAAGCGGGATTAATGCGTCATATTAATCTGCGTCATTTTTAAGAATTCTATTTTTTTAACAATATACAACAAAATATTACTAATCAATCTTTATAAGTTTATTATATACGAAAATAATTTTTAAACTACTGATTGTATATAATATCTAAGTATTTGGTAATAATAAAAGTTAGTGACTTCAATCTCAAGGTACCCGAAATTCTAAACTGCTTTGTAATAATTACGCGACAAAAGTTCACAACGAAATTAACTGTAGTTCGATTCTTCGATTTATATCACTAAAGATAAAACGCTCCCACAAAAGGCGTCGCAAAAATCGACGAAGTCGGCTCCCTTTGACGATAGGTGGTCCACCCATCGGCCGTGATGTGATTATAATAGCCACACTTCACTCACATGCCTACGATCAATTCCAGAAATGTTATATATTTTATTTCTTACGAGATTTATTTGCAATAATATCAATCTAATTACGGGCGGGTACATTAATTACATTTAATGACTCTTTCATTATGGAAAATTGGAGAATTTAACGTATCCTTGATTTTGTAACCGTTAATCGAAGACAAGTTGATAACATTAGGTATAGTCTGTAGTTTACGAACGTAGTAGACATTTAGATAATTTAGTTAAAACACTTTTAACGGTTTAATCACGTTAAATATTAGTTACTTATTTACAATTTGCTTAGTGTTGACTTTGGCATACGGACTATACTCCTTTTTAGTATTTTACAAGGAGGACAGGCATGGGGTTGCTAGATGGTAGGTAAAATAAACCATAACCTGTCGAATATTCGCTATAAATTGCAACCATTAGACCATTGAGCCCGTCAAACGACCTGCTGCTGCAAAGCACGTCGGGGCGTACTCAGTTATAATCAATTGTATTAACTATTTTATTTCGCGTTTTTGAACTCTTACAAGTATTTTTGTTCAAATACTGAATATAAGGTAAGAAAAACTATTGCGTTTCTGCTCAACTGCTTGTGTGTTGAATGATATTGGATGCGTTTGGTTGAAAACACTTCCAATGAAACGTGAAATGGGCAGAAGTTCTCCACGTTTTAGTAGAGAAAGGTTTCGGGTATTTGATTGTTACGTGCCATTAGACTTGGGTATTCTATTTTTTTTTTTTTCATTTAACGCTATACAATTTATTAGCCGTTTTCTACTATGCCCAACTGAATAAATTATGTTGGGTCTTTCTTTTTAACGTAAGGATTCGTAATCGTTTCGTTTTTAATTCTAAGTATTAGTAAAACAAGTTCGGTTGCAAACAAAAAGTTCGCCCGCATTTCTAATCGGTTTTTTACTGAATTAGTTATTTCAGTCTCTAAATGTTGTTACGAAGAAATGTTTAATCACATTTTTAAACAATATTTCTTTCGCCTTTTCAACGTATTCTTTTTTTAAGTTTGGCAATAAAGCCGAATTTTTCAGGTTCGGTTGAGCCAAACGGTTGGTTTTTCGTTGGGGAACCGAACCGTAATTAAATACGGGACGGTGTGGTTAATAATGGGCAACCTTATTTCGAGACATTTTGAATTTTTTAACATTGATTAAGTTGATATGACAAACCTGCAATGTATTTGATTAATATCACAACTTCTGAGCTCTCTTTTATGAATTGTTGTTCTTAAGAATCGTATCTGACTCATGTATTACACAGCTTGAAGTCATAGGTAGAATTAATGTTATTAATAGATGAACGAATAGATTTACTGGAAGTTATTTGAATAATTGCTGTTTGTTATAGGGCAAGGTCGCATGAATCAGCTTGGAGGAGTGTTCATCAATGGTCGTCCTCTTCCGAACCACATCAGACTGAAGATAGTAGAAATGGCAGCAGCCGGCGTCCGGCCCTGTGTCATCTCCAGGCAGCTTCGTGTCTCACATGGCTGCGTCTCCAAGATTCTCAATAGATACCAGGTACTTACGCAAAATATATACAGAATCTTGATTACAATTAAACTTCATTGTAATTTGTATCCGTAGCTTACGTAAGTACATTTAATGAAACTACTTTAAATTCTTAATTAGTTGAACACGACCCAAACTTTTGGGCGTTTTGCAGTATCCTCAATCACAAGAAACCAAGTCTTATGACGCAGTTTCTTTTAACTAATTTTATTTTTATGTTTAAATTGAAGTGGTAAGCATATATTTTTCGTTTAGGAAACCGGTTCCATCCGACCTGGTGTCATTGGGGGATCAAAGCCCAGAGTAGCAACGCCCGAAGTGGAAAATCGGATCGAAGAGCTGAAGAGACAGAACCCAGGTATATTTTCCTGGGAAATTAGAGATAAACTTATAAAAGAGGGCATTTGTGATAAAAACACTGCACCGTCTGTCAGTTCTATTTCGAGGCTTATACGAGGAGGCAAAAGGGACGAATCAGATCCTAGAAGAAACCATAGTATTGATGGTATTCTAGGTAAGTCCTTGCCGTGAATATTCTTATACAAACGCTTTTAATTGCCCACACTCGAGTTAATTTATTGCCTCATGTTTGTATTATCATGTAATAAAATCAGCAATGCAGAACGAATTAGGTGTTATTTACCAGGTAGATGCACTAGATAACTTTCTATTTCGTAATAACAAATTAGCTGTAATTAATTTAAGAATTCCGAATACAAAGTGTTTTGTGATAATATCTTTGGTCTTCACTTTTGTTGCCTACAGAGTAGGGGTAAATGGTGACACACGTTCCGATCAAATTAATTTGTATTTGTCAGATTTAGCAAGTTTGGGTGTAATATTTTTGTTTTCAAAATCAATTTGATTCTCTTTTTTGACGTTTTCAGTCATAGAACAGTTTAGTAATATTACTTTATTACTACAATTGACATATGTTATTTAAGAATAAGAATCAATAAATTAGAAATCGGTAGCAGTCTCAGCCGTACTGATGAATTATAGTTACACTTAGAAGTGCTGCTTTTCGTAATAATTAGACCAGGAGATCCATATCTGTTTATAAATAACGTTATCATTTAAAACGCAATCAACAAGATTGTTTGAAACGTTCACAAACTTTACAAAACAGCGTATAAAGTTAATAATCCACGTAAAGTTAAGCGGGAATCGCGCGCACGCCACAGCAGCGCGCCGTGTGTCGGCTTCAGAAATTGCAGGTTATAAAAATGAAATTAGTACTCAAAGCTATTATTATCCCATCGCGTTTGGCCGCGAGGCTTGCATTACGACAATCTGTCCGTACTGCACGTCTTATACTATATAGCTATCCGATATAAAATGGCGCTTCTAATATCTCCGTTCAGCGGCCGAGCGCAGTTTCGCCGGAGAGATTCCGCGATAAGATTATGCATATTAAGTTGTGAGGATAAAGTAATGTCTATGGAAGGCCCTATGCACGCAGGTTTTTGTACTTTTGATAACGGTTAAACGACGCAGTTATCTCGAGCTCACGCGAGACATACGCCTGTGTTACCTCTGAAATTAAAGAGGAAATTGCTTTAACGATATTTATAGTTCATTTACATAATACGCGCCGTTATTCAGATGCTCCAAGTGTTTGAAGAGGTCCCAAGTTTATAAGGTTAGCCCCAAACTGCAATGAATACTGTATGATACACCTACAAAATTTTAGTTTACAAGAAATAGTAATTAAGAAGAAGATTAAAGTTTGTTCGAAGTTGCTGTTTTTATTACACAAAATGCCTTTAGTTTAATACTTAGCTATACCTTCATAGTATCTTAAACATTCTATTCTCTAAAAAAGGTCAATCATCATGTGAAGACTCAGATACTGAATCGGAGCCCGGTATAACTTTGAAGAGGAAACAGCGGCGATCCAGAACCACATTCTCTGGAGATCAGCTCGAAGCCCTGGAGCGTGCCTTTACTAGAACTCAATATCCCGACGTTTATACCAGAGAAGAGTTGGCACAGAAAACTAAACTGACTGAAGCGCGAGTTCAGGTAAGACCTTGCTTTGAAGTTGAACGCGATGTGTATCAATTTTAAACCAGTAACCATTTAAAGGTGTATCCAAACACATATTTAATCCCATCTGCTACACGATATTAACGTATAACAAATAGCCTTTATCATAATCATTATAATTAATTATAGGATTGTAACTGAGTCACCACATGGTGTTCACGCTACCGTTCCTTCGCTTTTTGTTAGATTAATAGCCTCGGATGATTGTAGCCTAACACAGAATGTAATCGAGTGCCCCAACCTTATAATTATGTTCTGTGATCGTGGTCTGCCGCGGTGTATAATGTTCTTTGTTTGTGAGCAATCTTTGATAATTTATGTGCAACGTTTATAATTAAGTACTGATTTTGTCATACAGGTATGGTTTTCGAACCGAAGAGCACGACTTCGCAAGCAGTTGAATTCGCAACAATTAAGTGCGTTCAACACTATGTCCTTACAAAGCGCATTTCCTCCCGTCCATCAGCAATACGAAACTACTTCGTCATTCAACGCCCAATGTGCATCTTGGCAACAGTCGTATGGCTCTTTGGGTTCCAGTTCCGTGCTGAACTCAGCTTTAGCTCCTTCTTTACATCAATCTGCTCTCTCCGCACCTACTGTATGTCAGTCTTCCTTATCATCGTCTTTACATCCGCCAACGTCGAGCTCTTTCTCCTCTGGAAATCTAACTCCACTATCTCACTCATCCGAGATCCCAACACCACTTCAAGCATCGGCTGACGCTACTCCGCCGAGTTCAAGCCCGATTGCAGCAAGTTCTCCCTCCATTACAAACCAGACCAGCGGTTTAACATACCAACACCCGACTTATCAAAACGCGAGCGATTCCATACCTCATCCTTATGGCTACGATTATGGAAAACAAGATCACATGGCGGCCCATAACCACTGGACATCGAGACAACTGAGCCACTCGCAGAACAAGCTAGCAGAAGTCAGCGCCTGGCCTGAAAATTATAGGTAAGTTGTAAGCTATAATAATATTATTAAGTGTTCATTAAGTTAATGCCTCAATAAAGCGCGGTCGTTACAAGATATTCAGCGTTTTTGCTTATATCCAAGACTTTAAATTACATAGTTAAACATGAATAATGATATGTAGTAACATTGGACAATGTATGTAAAAGTTGAAGGAAGACGTTGAAGCATTGATTTTGATTAGGGCTTGCGAATTAGGGAGCTTTCATTCTATTTCCTTCCACGTCCCTTTATCATCATTCGAAGCGGCCGCTAATCAATTAAGAGTGTAAGAAGTCAGCCATTATACGCCGCCTGCGCCGTTATTATAGGCCCCGCAACGCCGATCCGATCGTGAACCCGATGGGGTTGCAAATTTCATGTACTTTTTTGATCGGTTCTTAATTGATTTTCGACTTGTACTTTGTTAGCCCGAGACGTGTTATTAAAGACTCGTTTTATCATAATAGCTCGTGAAGTTGTGAGAGCTCGTGAGGTATTGTCACTTTATTCTATATGGCGACGACATTTATCTATGCTATCGAAACAAAGGACAACAATATACCACGAATCGGACCACACACAATATCCAGCACAAAGAAGACGGTCCAATGCATGAGTTGCGTTTTATGGTGATCAGTTCCTAATTTCTAATATAAATAAGATCACATTTCGACACCCGCATTGAACCCGTAGTCAATTTTTATCATTTGACATTAATCAAAGTCAAAGACGTGCAAAGCGTACAATTGTATATTCTAGGCCCAATTAGAACGTTGCAGTCTGTAAACTGCAGACACATTTAACATCCTATTTTGTACTTTGACATAATACATACGAAAATAGCGTCTATGTATAGAACATTAGAATACACAACAGCGCGGCGTCATCGTGCAACATTTATCGTTTTCTTACATTGCGGAAAAACTTGTGTTGCTTTGTATCGAGCGGTTGCAATTAATGAAAGGCCGAACGTGACATTAGTCCAATGAACCCTCGCATTAAGTAACTCTAACCGTGTATTAAAACCTGTATGCAGCTATTTGTAATCCACTTCCTAAACTGCGAGCTTTGCGTGTGCCTTTTATTGATCACTTTACATCCGACCCGATGCTTCGAAATTTCCCTGTGATTGATGCATGCGATGCAACGAAAATTACGATTCGATTACGGCTTGATTGAAATCTAAGACTTTCCATAATGTTACTAAGTATTGGCAGTGTGACGTAATAAAATAATTAGAAGCAGTTAATTCTCTTTTGATACGCTAACTATGACGCAAAAACCTACTTAATTCGAAATTCAAAAATGCAATAACTTAATCAAACAAATTAGGAAACCCTTTAAAAGAATAAACACAAGAGATTTAATTAACTTTTTCGGATACTTTGCAGCATAGTAAAAAATAAATTGCATTTTATACCTTAAAAATATTTTATTTAAATTATGCGAATGACGTATTTAAAACAATTGTTTTTACTAATATTCTCTATTATTTCTTTAATTAAATTTAAAGAGAGTTTATATGTATGAAGTAACCCTGAAAACTAAGTAGGTCTTAAAAATATAATCACGGAGTAAGCCCAGGTGGATGTGGGTTGTCTGTAGGCGTATAATTGATAAATTAGTGCACCAGAACCTAATGTTGCGTGCATTAAGTTTTCGAACTTGCAGCTTTTGTTAATTAGACATTAGTTAAATATTCAATTCTTTATAATTTTAGTTTCTTAAACAGCTTTATAAATACATTTGATTATCTATATGTATTTACATTGTACCTTTAATCTTTGTTTTTTTTAAGTAACTAAAATGGGTATTATTTACTTTATATTTTAAAGCGAATTCGGTACGTGGTCGCTAAAGTTCCATATTACGTCATTCAAAATATCTATATAGAGATTTGAAACTCAAAAATAAATATCACAAACATCGCCTATTTTCATTTGCTAACATAAATGATACTCGCGAACAAAAGTGTGTACTGTAACAAGTACAGTAGAGCGTCGATTATCCGAACACTGAATTCCAACATCAAAATAATGAAAATTTTGGTGGAAAAAATAATTACTTTGCCATATAAATTGCTTTTGGCATTAATTGAACCTACAACATGCTTTTAAGGGACAAGTATTTTTATTCGTATTTGTCATTAACAATATGCATAAATATAGCCGAATCCATTCGATTCGATTAACCGAACGACAAATCCCCCTATTAGTTCGGATAATCGACGATATACTGTAATAAAATAGTTATAAAAACAAATCTTTACCATAAAGTATCCGATTATCCGATTCAATAGTACTATAGATGATCATTAGACTTTATCCCGCATTTAAGACACCCACACTTCACACAAATCTATTATTGTTTATATTATATCTGACATGAATAAGAGTTAATAACGTATCAGCCACTGCTTTCAATGTAATTTATAATTACGTTACCGTTTGCTGACATTTTGTTTCTCTAAATCGAGATTATTCGGGTGTGTTAGGACCACTATGTATTAGGTACGCAGTAATTATCAACAAGTCAACATTAAATTATGATGGCTATTATTAATATTTGTTTAGATGTAGATATTTAAATAAAAAACTTTAATTCTTTAAAACGCGATATATTTAAGTTAAACTTGTTTAGTCTCCCCGTGACCACGGCTGCTGTAAAGCATCTGAAACGTCGGGCCGTAGTTAAAAATAATTTTCAAACAAGTTTAACTAAAATATATCGCGTTTTAAACCGTTAAAAAATCAGTTTTAAGGTTTTTGGGCTCCTCTTATGAGTCTCTTGTTAGGAACACAAAACAAGAACATTTCGATAGTAACAGAACGAATCACATATAGAGCGTACGTCGTTATAATTGATATAAGACATTAGCTGGCGTAAGTTTGTTTCCTTATGTAATAAAGTATTTTCTTTTGTTACAGTTCATTCTTCGGAAGCAACGCGTCTCATTACGTTTCTCACGCGCATTCGCCTACAGAAGCTAAATCAGGATATCCGTACATCGGCCAACTTGGCGGTATGGACATGGGTCGGGTACATTAATTTTTTTATTAGTAAAAGTGTTATGACATTATTTCATATCAGTATTTTCGTCAAGCTAGACTAATACACTAAACGGGGGTATATTTTAGCGTTGTGAAGCCGAAAATTTTACCGTCCTTTTATTTTGACTTTCCGTCAAGATTTTTATGGGGTTTGTTTATACTTCTGTGTTAAGATTACTATTTAAAATATGTCAAATGCATTCACAGACATTTTATATATTCTGTAAATTAGTATCTATTGTGACCTTAAACTTTTTACAGATATATTAAAATTTGATCTTAGTACCACATATATTAATATTGGTATCGTAAACACTTATGTGTGCGACTGTACAATAAAATAAAATACAAATAGTATATGCCTTACCTTGTAAGTTATTATTAGTTTTCACTGATATGTTTGTATTATTATAGCTTTAGTAAATGTTGTTAAGAAGCGTTCCTAAGTAGGTTTAAAAATTTAGTTAACCACGCAGTTTTTAGAAAAATCAATTATATCTGAACTCAGACGCATGTCATCTTAATTAAAACCAGAATGGTTTTTAAATACTACGGACTAGTTTACGCGAGTAGTACACATTTAAATAAAACACTTGAACGGTTTAAAACGCGATATATATTAGTTAAACACGGGGGTCTCCCCGTGACCATGAGTTAAAAATATTTTTTAAATAAGTTTAACTAATATTTATCGCGTTTTAAGCCGTTCAAGTGGTTTATTTAAATATTCTGGTTTTAGTTTGTAATTAATTGTATATTTAAATTCTAATAATATCGACTGAAATAGATTTCCGGAGTTTGACACCTTGTCGATATAATTTTTACAGATTCTAAATTTACAGTAACCCCATCTGAGTTAAGCAGTAAGAGGTTAATTCTAACTTCCTTGTTGAATATTTCTAAGTACTGTAGTTCTATGTAGAGTGTAAATTGGTATAAATCGAATGCCTTGTATAAAATTGTGATGTAGGAGAATATATTTATTTTTAGATACACACGTGCAAAATGAATTAGGTTAAAAGATATATTTTGTAAAAATTCTTAAGATTTACGAGAATAAATGATATTAATAAAATTTGCAGTTTTTTTTTAATAATTTTCCAAATGTAAAAAAAAAGATTTTAATTTCTATTTTTTAACTATTTTCAATTTTCATTCTGAAGTAAAAAATAGGCCGACAAGACATTGACATAGGTATTGACTTGTTTTGACATTGACAAAAATCGCAATCAAAATGGCCTATTGGAGACCAGAACCAAAAGGAAGCATGCATCTCATGATATTATTAATTTCACGACTGGTTCATCATCAAAATATGATCACGTGCAAATAATTCTAATACAGCAGTGTCGTCAGCAGATTTTGTATATGAACCGGAATTGGAAGTATTTTCGTAAAAATACAACTGTATTAGGTACTCAAACTGATGTCAGTACAATTTTAACAATAAATAAATCTATTTAACAATTAAACAAATAATACTTTATTATATTTGTAAAAAAATTTTTTTCGCAATGACTGTCGATCAAGTTACGAACGATTAAGTATTGAATGTAAGTACATACACCAATTGATTTATGTAAATATCATCTAAAAATGTTTATTTTTTATTATTTTTAGCAAGTAGTAGTTACGCGTAGTTTTGAATGAGACGCTGTATACTTCTATATACAGTAAACAATTTAATTTGTATTAAAATTAATTAAAATACTTTGCTTGAGTTCAATATGCGGTTGAAATGCAGTGTTCTACCTGCGCTGACGCATTTCTAATCTCTAATCTAAGAGTAACACAATGCACTGTTTGCATTATACCTATTTCACGCGTCACGATAAGTATTGCGTAAAATCATTCACAATTAACCACGGTAATGACATACAAATTTGACAGACGCACAGAGCACGTCAATGATCAATAAAATCTGGAATGCCTAATGCCGATACCATAACGGGAGTTCCACGTTTCAATAACAAAAGCGCGGCATGAGGTTTAATTAGGTAATCAATTGCACGTTTCCATTTCCATACATTAGACATTGCTCAGCCGACTCCATATTGAAACAATTCGAATATTATCTAACCTAATATATAAAGCTGAAGAGTTTGTATGTTTGAATGCGCTAATCTCAGGAACTACGAGTTCGAATTGAAAAATTCTTCTTTGTTGGTTAGAGCATGTGTCAAGGAAGGCTTTAAGGCTATAAGACATCACGATGTGACCACTAGGAACGAAGATACATAGGGAAATATGAAAAATGTTCACCTTTAAGATTTCCACTGTCACTATTAAAACCATCGATCTTAGGAACTCTGCCCCCATTAATATCAAACAAGTTCAATTTCTCCGTTCTTTTAAAACCACAATTTTCAAATATTTAATACCTTTAATTTTTATACCTATCGAGGTCTTAAGTGCCTTTCTTTTTCATATTTTCCCCTAACACCACCTACCCATGCCTCTTTTTATTTTTCCCTTCACATTCTGTTGTCTAGATACCGTTGTTCTTTTATTTATAAGCTAGTTCAGTTAATTATTCATGTGACAAAGCCTTAATTGTTTATAATGAATAAGATTAAAAAATAATACTAAAAATAATTGTTCACTACAATTTTCGAGCTCCGTGGTAAAATGGTAGCAATGAATAATTAATATAGGATAGGTAACAAGTCACGGGTTCGATCTCCACCAAGTTCTCAATTAATAATTGTTCTGAAATATTTTTGACTTCGTCTGGAAATCTAGATTTTAATTTTTTTTTTAGGCTTTGGATTTCCGAATATACAAAGCGGAAAAGGATCGACTGCGCATCTTGTTAAGATGTTATATCGCTAAGGTATTTTACTTCCATTAAATTACATACGCTTGTATAGACAAGCAAGATTACTGTCATGTCATTCATTACTGTCGAGTTAGCTAATTTCTGTCTAGTCGAATTTCCTAAATACTTTCAATATCATAATATATATTTTGTACAAGGCACTTAGAGCTAGAAAATCAAGAGCAAGTTCTTGCTCCAAAAAAACTCCTTTATTTCTAAGAAATTATTTCAATTCGGATTGCCGAAAAACCGTATAAAAAACAATGTCACGAGGAAACTAAAATGCAATATTTAATACAATTGAAAAATATATCTTTAAATAAAACCTTTAATAGTTTAATACGCGACATATATAAATTGTGTTCAAAAATTATATTCTCATAAGATTAATTTATTTAAATATTTTATAAATATGACCTGACGTTAGGGGGATAGGTGTGCCGACCGTCGGGTCCTAGTTAAAAAACAAATTACTAAAATATATAAATTTTAAACCGTTAAAATTTTTGTGTTTTGTTTAAAACGGAATGCTAAAATGTAAATATTTTTCAATTTAAACACTTCTGGTGTCCATAGATTTTGTGTTAAAATTCTAAATTATAAAATCGCATTGTGACTAATCGTGACAGATCTAAGCAGGGAAATATAAAGGCGAAGGAATTACAAGAGGCGGATGTTAAAGTATCGAAAATGTACAGCCAACCGTCCAATCAAAAGGTGATGAATAGAAAACGTGATTAGATTCTGGTTTCCACAAAAACGGGTGTTTGGGCAAAAACTGAATCGGTATAGCACACGCGTGGGAAAACATCGTTCGGTTTGAAGTAAGGATTTTAGCTCAATTACTTTTTATGGCGTCTAATAATTTAGTCATCGTGGATTTTTTGCTTCACATTTTAATGGCGATAGCTCGGCAATTATTATTTAAAATGGAATTGTAGTACAAAAAAAAATGTCATCCATCGATACAACGACCAATAGTTACAACAGTTCTTGAATTATATATATTAACTTAATAACTAGACTTACACAGATTATATAAATATACGAAGCTTAAAAAAAAACAATGGCAACCCCTAAAACAGGAGCCACTTAGAATAAGAACACAAGGTTTAAATTTTCCAGTTTAATACAAAAAAAGCTATGCTATAAACAAAAGCTATTCAACAACAAACACATATATATGACGCTATGATATTTAATATTAACCACAAACAATTAAAATTTAAAAGAAAAGAAAAATCTTTTTGTCTCTTTCCTTCCTTCAATTTAATATACTTTTCACAACTATCTCATTTTATTACAAAGTATGAATGAAAAAACACACAATTATCCTAGTTACATTAAGCTAGGGATTTATCGAGAGCAGAGTTAAGCTGTTAATTGGGAATGGCTTAATCTGACGTCACAAGATTAATTACATCTGCGAACGACGTATTATTAAGCTAATACATTTAATTATGTCTTATTTCATTTCCTTAACTTATTGGTAAATAAATATATTGTCACTTCTACTAAATCGATTACATAGACTTTTCTATCTTTTGTTCTCATAAAGAAAGTCTTCTTCATTTCAATAAATTAAATGTATTACTTATTATCCTCTAATATCTCCTTATTTTGTATTTTCTTATATTGTAATTCTTTCTGCGTTTACATTTAGAAAATCAAACTTAGTATGTAAACACTTATGTTACTATTATCGATAGTTCTACCGCATAAGACTACCCGGCTACCACGGAACTTTGATACCCTTGTGGGTATCAAAGTAACATTCCCCGTTGTAAATCTATTTATTAACATTCACATTTTGTATATGTTAAGTGTCTTCTTCATATATTCATTGTATTTTTACATGACCGTACTTTACCTGGTTTTTAAGTAAGTAGGTGGCTTACAAACTTAGTTTCTCCATTAATGAACATAATTCCTTATCTTACCTAAATATTTTTTTAACAAATGAGTCGCTTAGGTAACCCATAGCAAAAATATATTACGGAAAAGATACTTAGAGAAAAGTTGTATTTGAGGTGAAAATTCTTATAGACTAAAATATATTGAAAGTCTGAAAACTTGAGAATAAACTTATTTAGATTGATTTAAAATAAATTGTAAACAAGTAAAATAATATACTTCACAATTTAAACCGTTAATTTTTTTTAAATTAAACTTATTGTGAC